AGTCTATATATGCATAATATTATGATCCTAGGATAAAATAATTCAGATACAATTTGTCCTAGGACAAAAATATTTCATATATTATTTTGTCCTAGGACAAAAAAATTAGTCCTATGGTAGGACAATAAAAGCTTGCCTAGGACAAAATATTTCTGAAAAATTTTGTCCTAGGACAAATATTTCTGAAAAATTTTGTCCTAGGATAAAATATTTTGTCTCATGGGACAAAATTTGGGTGGGACAGATTTTTCTGTGACAGCCCCACCCTCCTTCTTCTTTTTAAATCCAGGACTGCCGCCCCAATGAATGCTGCGACCATAGACTCTCAAAACCAAGTGCAAAGTAGATCTATTTTATTTATCATTCTTTAGCATAATATTATATATAATTGATATTAAATTTCAGTTACTGATCTTGCTGACCTACTTCAATTGCTTTCAAGACATGGCTATTTAGAAGACCGTTACCATAGGCTCAGTCTTTACCTTGGTCTGTCTCCTAATACAATACGTGTCATTGAAGCTAATCACAGAGGAGATACTGAAAGGTGTTTTAGTGAATGTCTTACTAAATGGTTACAGAAAGCTGACGATGTACAAAAGAAAGGTGGTCCTACTATCTATTCATTGGTATCAGCATTGAGGGAATTAGGAGAGAATGAAGTAGCTGATGGAATAGATATGGAGAGTGAGTTTCATAAAAATAAGGAGTATTAATTTATCTAGTTTGTAGTGCATCCTGCTTGTAAGATTCTTGCTCGTTATGCCTCAAATCAATCCCTCGTATCTGCATTACCTCAGTTTGCTGCATTGTTGTGCATAGAAAAGATAATAAAAGAGCTTGCTACCAACGTACCAGGAGAAACTCTGTTGATTCAAACAAAGAAAGCTGTTTGTGATGACTATCAAAAACTTAGGGCATTTGCTGAGACTTTACTTAAGTTCAAAATGACTGCTGTCATAGGAAAAGCTATTATGACAGAATACGGTAAGCCTATACTATTCTCTATTACATGAGATGCTAATGCCCACATTACAGGGGAGATATTTTGCAAAAATGCTTTAAATTTGAATGATTGTGGTAAGAAAAGAATCATAAATAAATTGAAGTGTCGCATATATTATGTGTGTCTGCATCATAGATAGAGGATTGAGAATTCAGTTTCCACTACACTTGACGCCACAGTTTAAATCGATGCGTTTACAATTTGGAGACACATGTCTTTAAAGTGGAATCAATTTTGAAAGCAATTCCACAGCCTATAATTGATGATATCAAAAAGTCATTGAGATTTTCCTACAATACATTACGCCCTCAACTGGATCTGTGTAATAATATAAATGACATCTTAGAATTAATGAGTGATAACAGTTCACTTGATGATATTAGCATGCTAGAGTTTCTTGTCAATAAACTCAATATAGAAGAAGCTAAGTTAGTGGTTCAGAAATACAAAGAAGTTATAGAGAAGTTTAGCAAAATAGAGCTTAGTAAATGTTTGCATGAGAGGTTTTCGCACGCTTCACTACTTCAATGTGAAAGTGTTACCATTGTCGTTGATCGAAAAACCGATGATCTTACATTGGATGATGTCAGGAGATTATCAGCTAATTTATTTGATGAGCTTTCACCAAATGTCAGATTAAATGTCATTAGAGATGGCAATTCTTTCACCATCACTTGTTCCTTCCCTTTGGTTTTATCTGAGCAGTTAATTACAGCTGCTCTTCATAATATTGATGTATTGAAAGAAAACAAAGTGAAGAGATTAACCATTGGACACTGCACTGTGTATGAGGTAAACGAAATGAACTGATTTTATCATTACTTTAATGTAACAGGTAAATGACACCTCCACTTCAACAGAACTAAGTAAGCCTTGTGTTCATAAATTTTTACTTTTACTTCTAAATTTATATCTAGATGAACATCAACACACCTCATCATTACCAACTAGTAGTGGCTTATCAAAACAGTTGATGCTATCATTGAGTGTACAACTGATTAATAGTAAGGAGGAGGTTACTACTTTAAATGAGGTATGACTATATAAGCTTCCCTACTATAATTAACATAAATATTGCATGGACCAATGACCATGTTTTATTGTGTCAGTTTTTTAATAATTATTTTACTCATTTCATAGAAAAGTATGACAATGAAAGAAGAAGCAGAGTCATTGAAAGAAACACTGGATACTAAAAACAAGATGCTGAGAGTCAGTAGAGGAGAGAGTGATCGATTTAAAAGAATAGCAGAAGAAATTGAAAAGCAATCAAAAGCCAAGGAAGGTTTGTGAAAAATTTTAAGAATTCAAGAACTATAGAATGGTCATTAGTTGAAAGCAAGCAAGAAATAGAATTATTGCAAGAGAAAATATCAAGAATGAGTGTACAACAAATTGAAGATTCAAAAGAAATGGTGGCAATGAAGAAAGAAGCACAATTATTGAAGGAGGCACTGGATGCTAAAAACAAGATGCTGAGTGTCAGTGTAGCAGAGAGTGAGAGGCTTAAAAGAATAGCAGGTATAAAAAATCATTTTTTGAAAGTTTTATTATTGATTATTATTAGCTGAGACAAAACTGTTACTACAAGAGAAAGAATTGCTTTTATCAGAGCATGAACAAGTTAGTGATAAATTTGAACTATTTCATTGTTATGATAATAATAGGAGAATGAGAAATTGAAAGAAAAAAACAAATTACTAGAGGAGCAGCTTGATTTATTTCAATCTGAGAAAGAAAGTAAATATGACTATGTTAAACTTAATTGTTATTGTTATTTAAAATTGTTATGATGCTGCTATGTATAAGCATGTACCATGAGCATGTATCATTACAGATGCATGTCATTATGCATGAGCAACAATGATAAGTGCTTTATTATTAAAGGAATAGAAGTGGAGAAGACTGGAGCAGACAAAGAAGAGCAGCAAAAAGAAATTGATACAATTATGGCAGAAAATGAAAAATTGCAAACAGACCTTGCTATTGAGAGTAAGAATGCAATCATAATCATCATTGTGATGTATAATGATTGATACTAGGAGAACAATTAGAAAAGATTGCAGCAGAAAAAGAAGAGCTTCAAAAATATTTTGATGCTTACGAAAAAAAAATGATGGAAAAATTTGAAAAATTGCAAGCAGACCTTGTTAACAAGAGTAAGCATGAACACACACCTTTATTGTAATGATCATCAAACACTAGAACTAGAAACAGATGAAAATGAGCAGGCAGTTCAAAGTATAAATGTATTATTAGGAATTTCCCATTCAATTTCTCATTCATTTCTAGTTAAAAAATTAAAATTGACTCGAGTTCCAACATTGCATGATGACTGGAGAGAATCACACACTCTACCAGTAGAAGTATTAATGACATCTTTTGCTTCTCATCATAAAAGCAATGACCATTGGTACAGCCCAAGCTTCTACTCTCACCAAGAAGGATACAAGTTGTGTCTAAGAGTGAGAGCAAATGGAGAGTCAGAAGGAAGTGGAACACATCTCAGCATTCACGTACATTTAATGAGAGGTGACCATGATGAAACATTGAAATGGCCAGTCAGGGGAAAAGTAAAATTAGAGCTATTGAATCGGAAATGCGACGAAGATCATTTTGCTGGGGAAATCGAATTTAATGATGACTCAAATTCAGAGGCCACTGGAAGAGTAGTCAATGGAATACAGATAAGCAGTGGGACTGCAGCTTTTGTTGGACAGGGAGGAGCAGCTTTTATACCACAAGACCTAATTTTCAAAGACTACATGAAAGATGATAGCATCAGGATTCGTATTACCAGTGTAGATTTATCAGGCCAGGGTAATTCAATACCCATCTCAGTTGCTACCAGTGGGCCTTTCTTCGAATTTAGAGTCAATAAGTTCTCGACGCTTCAAAAATCCAATGGAAGTTATGTCTGTGATCCTTTCTACACACACAAAGAAGAACAAGGTTACAAGTTTGTCTTTATGGTGTATCCCAATGGGGTAGGAGCAAACAAAGGGAAAAATGTATCTATTTTTGCTCACCTTACAAAAGGAGAAAATGACGACCGACTCAAGTTTCCATTTAGAGGCGAGATCACACTTCAAGCTGTAAACTGCCGTGCTGATCAAGATCATGCTGAGAAAGTGATTCGAATCAATGATTTCACAGATCCTAAGGAGATGTATGGTGGTCGTGTACCATGGTATAATGTAACTGGACGAGCACTCAATGGATATGGATTCCCAGAATTTTTACGACATGAGCAACTGAAATACAATGAAAAGAATAATACGCAATATCTCGATGACAATGACTCAATGCTTTTTAGAGTAACTAATGTAAGAGTAATGTCAGTATAAATCGCAAATAATTTTTAATACATATTTTTAGCCTTTAATAAAAAATAAATAAATAAATAAACTTTCTATACAAGAGTAGCAATAAACCAGAACAATAATTAATGTATGATATGAATAATAAAATAATGGAGCATGTAAATGTACAAAAACAAAATTATATAGTTCTACATACAGTGTTAATCAGTAGATCCCAATTTAGTGGGAGGATTGAGCTCTTGTTAATTGGAGTGGGAGGAAAAGGAGGAGCTACTGGTAGTGTAGATATATTGAGAGTAGAATCCTATGAGAGGAGAGAAATATTCTTTTATAAATTTAGAATTTTTAAAAAATGGCTATAACTTGAAAAATTTAAGTTGGAATCAACTCAAACTTTCTATACAGCATAAGTACATCAATATGTATTGGAAAATGCAATAAAAGTTTGGGGTGATTTTGGAGCCATTTTTTGAAAAAAACCATGGGCTTATAGTCTTGGGTATTTTTCAGAATTTTTGGCATTTTCTTAAAATGGCCATAACTTGAAAATTTGAAGTCGGAATCAGCTCAAACTTGCTACACACACTAAGGACATCAACATGTATCACAAAATGTAATAAAAATTTGGGGTGATTTTGGAGCCATTTTTTTCTAAAAAACCATGGGCTATAGCCTTGGGTATTTTTC